TGGCCCGCCCTCCGCAGCCACTGCAGTGGATTACGATGTGGTTATCGCCGCTCATCTCATCCCATTCAGGCCGCAGTCCCACTCCTCCCGACAGGAGTCACGTATTGGTTCAGGTGCCGCGCTGCTTCCATTCCCGCCCCGCCCCGCCCCGCCCCGGCTTGCCGTGCACTCACGGAGCCCATTCTGCCGGACCGACAGGGGGCGGGGCGGGGCGGGGCGGGGCCGGGCCACCGGACGGGTTGTCAGACCGCCACCACCGGTCCCTTGGAGGACCTGCGCGCGCCAAGTGATTGAGTCGTTGAGATGCAAATACCCAGAGAAATCCTAAAAGGGTAAAGAGAGGGAAAAGGGGGGAATGGGGATAAAATAATAAAACCGCGTGTGCGCGCGTGGGTGGGCAGGTCCGGCCCGTTCATCACCGTGGTGTTCCCCCCCACCCCCTTCCTCCTCACTATCGGGCCCTCCTCCTCCTCCGCGTCCCGTCGTGATAAGGACCGCGCGCGGTGCGTGAGCGCAGCCCCGCCTGTGCGTGCCGGTGAGCGTGAGCGTGCGTGTGTGTGTGCAGCAGAGGCACTGCTGCGGCAGCGCGAGCAGCATGGCCCCCGCGGGGCCCGGCGGAGGAGCGCCGCCCACGCCGTCGTCCACGTCCACGTCGTCGTCGTCGTCGTCAACCGGACTCCTCCGGATCGCCGCCGCGCTCCTACTCGTGCTCGCCGTCCTGACGCCGTCCGCGACGGCAGCGTCCAACTCGACGGGCGCCACCGCCGCCGGCGGCAACGCCACGACGCACCTCACCCGCCAACACCGCTACCCGGGACAGGACTCTGACGGCGCGCTGCAGTCCGTGGCCGCCGGAGGGTAAGTACACCTCACAGAACGAAGCCGCGACCGGCAAGTCCCATCTCACTTCTGTAATGTCTTAAATTTGTTTTTGGCCGCGGCGAGGCCTGCCCTCGCGGCAGATAGGAGGGGGAGGGGGAGAAGGTTCCTACCAGAGTACGGCCCTTGCATGTCATACGCCCCACTGCGACGGGGTTCCCATTTTGGCCGCGAGGAGGAAGCCTGGCGAGGTGTGGCCGCATGGTGTGGCGAAGCGAGGAGGCGTGCGGGCCAGCCTGGCCCGCCCTAAAAGGGTGAGGAGGGGGAGGGGGCGAGGCGGGCATATCCATCAGTCCAGGCCTTTTGAAGTGGCAGCAGCCGGGGAGCCCTTCGCCCTCCACAGCGGTGGTGGACTCTACCTCACCACCACAGCGAAGAGGCACTGCAAGAGTGGCAGGAGAGGCAGCAAGAGAAAGAACGATACAGGGGAAGAAGTAGTGCAAAAGACAAGCAGATGGCAAAGACAGAAAGCGCGAGCTCATGCGGCCGATCCCGAGGGAGAGAATGAATGATGGGCACATGACCCCGCGGCATAAGCCGTGCTCTATATCGGCGACCGACCGCCTTCCGCTCCGTCTCTGTCCACCCGCATGAGGTCGCGTCGAGACAGCTGCACTTCGCTCTGGGCAGGTCCGCAGGTCCCAGCAGCCTGGGCTGGTGGTGGGCTTGCCCTGCCCGGCCCGGATAGGTGGCTGCAGTCGGATTGATGGATAAGCGGTCTGTCCGTCTTTCTCTCCCTCCGCCCCCCTTTTCCCCCGGCCCTGCCGCTTCAAAACCTCTCCGAACGTCAAGACCGCACCGCAGCGCCGTCCTGCTCGCTCCGCCTTGCTCCGCCAAGCCAGGCTAGACCTGCCTGCGGCCCGACAGCAGCTCCGCCGCAGCGCCGTGCATTCGTACGCGCTGATCAATTATTTACAGCACTGTGGAAAAAGCTTTCAACGTCAGTCTTATTTTTAAAAAAAGGACCACAAACGAGAAAGAAAAGGCCAGCGGATTGTCACATGTCACACTGTCACCAGCACTACAATTAGTAAGGGCTTGCTCGTCCTTCAACGTCGTGTGGGGCATGTTTGTAATATTTAGACGTGGATGACGTGGTCAGGTCACATTTCTAATGTTGAATCATAGCGAAAGATAACGCCGCATATTGACAAAATTTGGACCAAATGAAGGGCAAAAAGCGAAGTCCTGGAAACTAAGCCCAATTGTAAAATTGAAAGGTGAAAATCTTTACTGTATGTGGCTTGGTATTTGGGAAACATCCTTTAAAAGGTTTTTACATTGGACAAAACGTAAAAAAGTACTACCGACAAAATCGCGGAGCTGTGCAGTTCTATGTGGTTCCATTTCGGTCGCGATTCCGAGTCGCCTTCAGTGTCAGTGACAAGCGAAAGAGCAGCTGCTCGCCGCAGGCCAGCGGGCCAGCTCGGCCCTGCCCAGCCTCTTAGGGTAGGCTTGTGCTGCTCTATAGGGCTAAGGGCAAGAGGCTGGGCTGCGGGCCGCGAGGGCCGGGCGGCGGCGCGGGCATCTCTGGTTAAACTATCATTACAGCGAGACAAGACAGCGACATGTGGAAGTGGAAGTGTAGCGCGGCCCTGGTCGGCCCTGCCTCTCTGATGCTCGGCTCCACCTCGTTCTAATTCGCTCCCATTTCGCTCGCTTTGTCGAGGCCTCCGCCCGCCCCGCTTCCACCCGCCCACCTCTTCCTCCTCCTCCTCCTCCTCCGGCGGCCCGAGGCGGTCCACCGTGATGTGATCCCGGTCGCGGGCGCACCATATCGCCGCCGGGTCGGAAATGAGGCATGCCCTTCCCCTAGCGATACCCGCGGTTATTATTCGGACATACTCGTGTCATTGACTCGGCCGTAGGTAGGGCTGTGTGCAGATATCTCGATGATATCGACGGGCCCGCGGTATCAATAGCGCCGAAACTGGGCCGGGAAAGGGGGAAATGTGTTTCGATATTCCGGTATGAGTCGAGACTCGGAGCATCGGGTCGACGTGTGACACTTGGTCGACGTCGTTATCGCGATATCGAAATCCGGATATCGCACAGCCCTAGCCGGCGGAACTGCAAAAATCTAATCCGTACTGTACGCGGTACCACTCGCCGCCACGCCCAACGACCGCCCTATGCCGCGGCTGACCGATGGCGGCGCCTATGGTTGTGGAAGGCCGACGCGCGGGGGTCACGCGTTATCGCGGGGGAGCCCGCTGGGCCCGCAGCCGGCGCCGCGCGGCTCCACGCCGGCCGAGCCCGCCGTTTCATAACGGCCCAGCAGCGGCCAGAGCAGCGCGAGATACACAACCCCTTCCCCAACCCCCCACGCAGCGCGCGCGCGCGCGCGCTTGTCGGGCAAGGTTACCGGGCCAGTGCGTGTGTGTGTGCGCGGGCGTGGACGCGTCCAGGACGGACACGACGCGGGCGGTGCGGGGCGCGGCGGGCGGGGTGGAGCTCGAGGGCGAGCAGCAGGAGGACGACCGCGAGGAAGGGGGAGAGGCACACACCGGCGCCCTGCCCGCCCCGGGCGCGGCCAGGCAGCCGGATCAAAGGGATATATACTTTAAGGGCTCCTGAGACAGGCTCGGCCGCCCTGCCCCGCCACCGGCACACATCGATCCAGGAAACTCCTAACACAACATCCGCGGCCCCGGGGCCCCCGGGGTCCCGGGCGCGCCGGCCTCAACAGCGGCCTCAGGGCGCCGCCGCCGCCCATAGCAGCCGCAACGGCGGCCCAGCGGCTCGGCCGACCCGCGGGGAAATCTTATCTTGAATCCACGAGGTCCAAAATACCTCGGTTTGCGCGCGCGCAGACGCGCGCTGGCTGCTCCGCCGGGGGAATCGGCGGACAAAACTCGATTCCGATTCGGTTTTGAGCCGTGATGTGTCTCGGGCAGAGGGACCCGCTGCTGCTGACTGACTGCCTAGCGGCCCCGTGCGTAGAGCAGAGCGTGGAGCCCACGTGGGATAACTCGCTTTAGCGTCGCAAAGCGCTTTATTGGATTTCCCGCGCGTCGCAGCGTCGCATTGCCGAACGCCGCCAATCTCCGTTCCACTCTCGGGCTGCTCTCGCAGCGCCCTCCGTCCGTCGCCCTCGACTTCCCTTCCTCTGGCAGCGGGGTGGGTGGGACGGACGGGACCAACCAGGGAATCAAATTCAGCAAAGGGTACTAGATTATCTCGGCGTGTGGGCTGCTCCGCCGCCGCCGCCCCGCGCGCCCGCCCACACACCTGCCTGGAACCTTCATACCACCCCCCTCGAGACTGCTGAGCTGCTACTGCGAGTTGCCGACGAGTAGCTTTATATATACCCGCGCGTGAGCTTCCTCTCCAGCGAGCAACTCATTGGTCTCCGCATCTCCAGCAGCTCGGCTCCAGGCTCCAGGCTCCAGGCTCCAGCCCAGAGGATGCAATAAGAGCTCTCATCGTCCAGCCTGCTGGCTGCAGCGCCCCAGAGCAGCGCCGCCCCCGTTGCAGAGCAGTGTCAACTCATTTCGGAGCGCGAGGCGACCGGGCCGGCTTGTGGGTGGCACCCAAAGGAGGAAACAAACCGACCTTTCCAACAAGGGTATCACGTCGTCAAAGTTCGAAAACGTTTCTGGACAATTTAAAAATATTGCAAATAATTT